GACCTCCTCGTCCCTTTCACACCAACCTGAGCCCTAGAATAGCCAAGGATCAACTAACACAAAAGCCCTTTCCTTTCTCTTTTCAGCTTCAGAAGATTTTATGCAGGGGGGTAACAATAAAACATAGAACGATCCCCGAGTTTTGTTAGATCATGCATTTGGAATACTTTATTAACTCCCCCCAAAGATGGGCTAGGTTTATGTTCCACCTTCGAAATGGGTAAATAAAATATACATAGCATAATTGTTTACTGTTCTATTGCTTATATCAGTGTTGTACTATGCTTGTGCTTTTTTTTTTTTTTTTTTTTTTTTCATTTAAACTTTACCTAAACCCCTCTCTCCTCAATGATGGAGGACATTGTAATAAACATATCTTTCCACTGACAGTTTAGAAGGAAATGTTAGGTTTATTATTTAGATCAACCTTCTGATAGGTATATACCATTGCAGCATGACTGGTAACACCAGCAGATCTGCTGGCTTTTTGAGCCAATACTTTTCCACTAGTTTATCTCATAGGCAGTAAAGAAAGTGACATTAAAGACTTAAACATATTAGAGCAGTCTTTAGTCAGTGAAATATCCAACTCAGATCTACTTCTGATGGGCTAATCCTGTAGTAAAAGAAATAGGTGCTCTGACAGGTAACTATTAAGGGAAATGGTTACATAGAGCAGTTGATTTTATTGTCAGGGTACTCCAACAACCTTCAAACTCATTTCAAAACTTCAACTTTCATCCAGACCTAACCCATAGGGAAGAATAGCCATGCAGTTTTATTCTTCACTCAAGCTGGGTATTTAAAATAAATACATTTTGTAACATAAAAGTCTCCAATTATTTCCTGTCTTTTTGCATAAATACATTTAGATAGCTAAGACTTGATTTTTATAAAAAGTAAATATTTGGCTCTGGTTTCACTGGTGTGCTGAGAATGATTGTCACTTTTCCTCCTCTAAAAAGGCTTGATTTGCATCCAAAGGTCAGTGCTTGCTCTCCTGCCATCCTTCCTCCTGCTGCTTCTCGTGGGCCCTCTAACTGGGGGCCTAGGCCAAAAGGGGAAGTGCTTCCCTTATCTCTCTTTTTCAAAACATGTGCTTTAAATGACCGGTTTGAGATAGAAAACTAAACTAAGGTATAGCACTTAACTCTGAGCATTTCAACCCAAAGGTGACAAAGAAGAAATGCCTGGGCTACCAGAGCAATAGTAAACCCTGAAGTCTGTTGGGTTCACAGTTTGACTACATGTACACGCTAAGGATAGGCAGTCCAGCAGAAGCCTGACTCCTAACTTGGCCTGTCCACCTGGTTTTTTGTTGATAAAGGCAGGACTTTTTACAACTGGCCAGCAACAATATAGGCTGGGTTCGGTCCTGGGGGTAAAGATTTCTGAGATAGGCTGGGGTTTAGTTTGTTTGTTTTGGTTTTGTGTTTTAGTAATCACAAAATATTAGATGGGCATTCCTGCGCCTCTCTCCACCCTTTCTTCCAAAAGATCTGTGCGAGACCATTTTAAATACATCTTCAACTATGTCCTTCCTGGCTTTAATCTCATGCCAGGGGAGACTAATTGATTCGGCACCTTTCAAATAAGCTCTTTGGGAAAGGTCTGCAGCAAGATCAGAGGCACTGACCTTTTTCTCAATGATTGCAGGCATGTTCATCTCTCCAGATGGGCTCGATAAAACGGGCTTAGTTCTGTTCTGTGGTCTTGCTAAACAGAATAATACCATTTTTAACGATTTTGAGGTAGGGAAGAGGTAAAAAAGAGAATTTCCTACACATATCTGATCATTTGTAGGGTCCCATGGCTCTTGAACTAGATGTGGAAAATGTTTTTACAAGGTCACTTGTGTTCAGTGTGACTTACCAAAAAGCCAAAATGAATGACTTTCGGGAGACCAAGATATCAATATCAAAAAAACCTATAGAATTAGTGAAGAACGGTTCAGCCTCGTGGTAAGAAAGATATGGAGGGAGGGAGTACCTTAACAGGCTAGACAGTCCGCTTAGATCCGGAATCTGGGGCCTGGAACGCAAGTCATCCCTGAATGTGCAGCCAAACCGATCTGTGCTTCTCTTCCTCTCTCACCAGATCACGACAATTTACTGGGTGGCGAGCTGGGAGAGATCAACCTTTGTCTGGTATGTCTTTTAAAACGTGATTAACGCTGAGCTTGATGCTAGCAGTCCGCAAAGGGTACTATAGGCTTACAGCCTAATTCCTTTCCCCAAGCAGAGCGGTACCTTCTCATTGCCTTTTGGGGGAACTACACTAAAGATCTAGTGTGCACTGAACAGGTCTGTGAGGAACAGGAAGGCAGAGGAAGGAAGGGAGGCTCCCGGGAGCCCAGGCCCCGGCGAGGCCCTTAGAGTTCCCAGACCCGCCAAACCGAGAGAGAGAGCCTGGAGAGGGCTGAGCCCCGGCGGGCCTGGCTGGAGGCCTCAGGTAGGATGCTGAGGCAAAAGCCACAGCGGTCTGAGTCCAAGAACCACGT